GTTCGGCGTCGCGAGCACCTTCTTCGTCGTGGCCTTCGTGAGCTTCTGCATCGTGCGTTGCCTGAAGAGCGGGGGTCCGGCGGAGGCAAAGGATCACCTGTGGAGCGCTTTTGCTATCCTGGTGACTCAAGGTGAGGTACAGAGGTGGGGTAGGTTTGTCTCACACTCGCACACAAGTTCACACACACACACACACACACACACACACACACACACACACACACACACACACACACACACACACACACACACACACACATATATATATATATATATATATAGTTGATTAATAAAAATATGTAATCAGCCTACCTATGATAAAAAGCTTTTCGATTGGTGTCACTTTACTCTTTTCCGCAGCTCTGGCGTGGCAACCCAACGGTTTTACATTGAGGTTTCTCTTCTGTGTATGGATGCTGTGCTGTATTGTCATCGTTAACAGTTATAGGTAAGCCTCTGGGTGTGTGTGTGTGTGTGTGTGTGTGTGTGTGTGTGTGTGTGTGTGTGTGTGTGTGTGTGTGTGTTTGTATGTGTGTGTGTATGTGTGTGTGTGTGTGTGTGTGTGTGTGTGTGTGTGTGTGTCTATCCTCTCTCTCTCTCTCTCTCTATCTATCTATCTATCTATTTATCTATCTATCTATTTATCTATCTATCTGTCTATCTATCTATCTAGCTAGCTAGATAGCTAGATAGCTATCGCTCTATCTGTATACCTATCAATGGTTAAGGTTAGTTACAGTTTTATATAGTATCCTGTTACTGTTACGTAAAAATCGCTAGTGGAAATATGATGGAACTGCTTAAAAATCCAGAGCCTCTTTTTTCTCAGCAATCGCTTTTAACTCTGTTTCTTATTCACTTCTTTACTCTACCACCTGCATCATCTACTTTCTCATTTATACAAAGCCTTCCTCGCCATATTTTTCTCTTACTTCGCAACCGGAATCAGCTTCCTGTGTGTGTGTGTGTGTTTTTTTTCCCTTCATTTGATAATCTACTCTAACAATCACAATTTAAGTCAAGGTAAGAGTGAAATTTGGTGAAGGATTCTTTGTAGAAATGCTCCCATTTCTACAAAGGATCTCTCACCAAATTTTACTCTTACCTCACAACCAGAATCCTGTTTTTCTTTATACAGCGGCTCCCTTACGTCGTTGCTGGCTGTTACGACTGTTTCCGCGAGCCACGATTCCCTCCAGGACGTCGTGAAGGATAAAGACCTGAAGCTGATCATGGAGGCTAATACCGCATTCACAACTCATCTTAAGGTGGGTCTAAGTGACTTTGCTGTCTTGATCTAAACTGAAGCAGCGTTCAATTCTGCATATCTTTTCTTTCTTTTTTTCTTTTTTTTTTTACATTCTTCTGAAGAAAAATCAACCTTTACAAAAAGTTAATGTGATACAAAGTAGTAACAGTTTTTCTTATGGTATTTCCATAACACCTTTTCCTCAAGATGTGCACCGTTTTCCACTTCTGTTCAAGATTTTTTTTCCTTTCATCAATGACAAACAGATGGTCAAAGGTGGGATCTACAAGGAACTCTCCGAAGCAGCGACAAAGCGAGGAATATTCGAACCAGCGGATAGCTTATGGTTGAAATCCCGCCAGCTGCTCCGCGACGGCCGCCACGCACTCTTGGCCGAAGAACTCACCCTGCTGAAGTTCATGGCGGATGACATGAGCCACACGGGTACGTCGACGCTGCAATATCAAACTTCCTCTATTTTAGTGGATGTGAAAATTGGTCCATATATTTGATTATGGAAACGAATTTTGATTTTTTGGATATTTCAGTACCAGAAGTTGTTTTCTTTTCTTTCATTTTCTTTTAACTAACTGGATTTTTCATCCTCTTATAAAAAGGCCGGTGTGATTTTTATATGTCAAGTGGCGAGTTCTGGCCGGTGATCGTGTCTATGGCGGTTGTACAAGGCAGTCCTCTTCTTGATCACATTAATGCTAGGTATTGTTAAGAATATTACATCAGAATTACCTTGTTGAATATAAAACATAGGAGCTATAACTTTGTTTCGTGTATTTTCTAGTTCTTTTATGATTACTATAATCACCTTCTCAATATGATATGAGAGTGGTGAGCGTTTTGATCTTTGCAAACCAAGAGCAATGTAACTGCAAAATGAAGCATGCTGTAGAAATCATATTTGAATTCAGAGAGGAATGAAATCTGCTTTAGAAATCCTATTGCAGTTAAATCTAATTCATTTACTTTAAATGTGGACTTACAAGAAAATTCCAACTTCCACACTGACTTCATAAATTTGAATTATCAATCCATCGGTTTCACTTTAGAGTACTTATGCTCCGAGAGTACGGGATCTACAACGCGTGGATTGGAAGGGAGCTGGACAACGTGACCCAGTGCGTGACGCCTGAATCTAGATTGCCTCTGTTGCCATATACCCTCACGGACTTATGGGTGAGTCTTTGTCTCTGTATCTCTTTCTCTCTGTCTGTCTATCTTTCTATTTATATCTAT